TAGAAATGTCCTTCAGTTTTGAATTCTATTCGTTCGCATATCCACTGAACCTTTGAATCTGATATCATTCTACATAGAAGACCTTTTCCTTAAATGTAACAGCATTGGCTAGGTGTGAATTTCCTTAGTTTCCTCTTAAGAAAAAACACAGAAGCAGAGTTTAGTTTTACTGCAGCAAGGACTGATTTGTTTCGTTTTCATGCACTCATACAGAGCCTCAACGTTCAGCATGGCAAAGCCTTTTTCTTAGTGAAGCAGCTACTACTTCGTCTGCAAAATTATTTTAGCGTCGTACAGAGATAAAGTTTGATTTCGACTACTTGCAGAGTGAAGGTGACAGGTCAGCTCATGCAGTTCACGCACAAGACCGGGATACTCCAGGTTAACTACAGCGATCGGCTGGTGACGCTTCTGCGAGACGTTCGACAGCTGCAGGGGCTTGGCTACAACATCCCGTCAAAAATTCAAACCTGCTTCGAACTTGGTCAAAAGTTTTACAAGCAAGCGATTACCCTTAAACAAGTAATGCCTGTTGCTCATTTACGCCATCAGCGTACGTTCTTATTTGCTTTGTCACACAGTGAATTTCTTTGGTTGATCTGCTTAAAATTTAAACCGTTCAACCTACAAGTCTGTCGCATATGTTCAGCAACAGTTCGCTACAGGTCCCTATGTCTCATACATAATATCTAGCCCGGTATTCTGACTTTATTTGCAAACTGCTGTTCTTCGAAAGCGCCAGTAAGAATAACAATTTCTTGTCAGGTCTGCAGATTTTGGCTGATATCTAAACAGGCTTCTCTTCAGCCCATTAAAATATTGCGGTTTCGTACCACCGTGCTGCAGGCACTATCATAGCATGAGACGCAGGCTTTCTTGAAGGTTCCTATATGCTGTTAGAAGCAAAGGAATGGCGCAACTATATTGTGTAAATCCTAAGAAATGACAGGATATGCTTAAGTTTTACAGTGGCGTGTAATGCAGCGTCAACACATCAGGTTTATTTTCAGTAGCAGAAATATTTCTTTCGCTCAATTCATTCTGTGGAACCTTACTCGTTGTGCATAACCGCTTCAACTGTAAAGCGATAACTGTTTAATAGCTGTCCACTTGTCGGCCATGCAGGCAAATATTACGCTAAAATGCACATTAATATCTTACATTGTTGCTTGACCCTAAACAATATAATATTATAATTTTGGTCCTTTCATTCTGCTTTAGACATACATATTGCTGCAGTTATACCCCAGTCAGCAGTCAGTAACCCTTTTTAGGCAATGTAGTGGCTAATTGCCGAGTGTAAACGACAAAGCTCCAAGTTGAAAAAATCGAAACGCTGTTTTAAAGAGTACTTCCTAGCAAACACGTGCTTCAAGAATCATAGGAATAATGATTGTTTACGACCTTCTCTCTTATACTGTTAACATTAAGCACGCTTTTTTTTCACAAAACGTATTATCCGGTGTTTTAACCTCAGCTTACCCTCTTGCCATCAGTCAAGAGCTTATTA